CGGAAGTAGGATTCGTCACGTCATCACTTAACGACCGGATAGAGTCCCATGTCAACAAGTCCAACTTTAGAAGAAATAAACATTTTACAGAGTGGTCAATAAAACAGTTTTGGTCTTTGGGGATAGTTTCTCCATGATACCAACTGTGCATTCAAAGGTAGTAAGTGTTTAAAATTAGCTATAGCTGCCAAGCTACAGTATGGCATCGGTGCCTTTTGGAACATTTCTAGAGGAAATAATGTGAGGCTCAGTTAGGACAAGAGAAATTCTCATATTTTATTAGCCTTAACACAATTAGCAGGTACCTCTGAGTCCAATTTGCTAGCATAACAAACTCATATGTCCAAATATAGAAACCTCAGGCTCCAAAAAACGAGCATGACCGCATCCAGCACACTAACGCTGAGGTTTCTAAATGTCAGCTCTGTAACCTTCATGTGTCATCATGTTTTATACACAGTCTATGATTTGAAGCCAGTTGGGGACCCATGTGTGTCGAGTTCTGTCTGCACAGTTTTGTTTTTAGGCTTTTCCAGCTTATCCTACCATCGAAAAACAAAAGCATGCTAGGTTATCGTTGCCCATCTTGGCCCAGGACTTTCTCTGAGAGTTCTTCTAAAGGTCAAGAGGTTTAATAGAAGAGTTCAAAAGCTTCTCTGCAATCAACATGTAAAAAGGTTCTTTTGGAAAATGTCATCGTTGGAGTGTTTGGCATTTAGATCATCATCATGGGTTATCAGTTTTATCAGTTATCAGTCATATTTTCAGTTTATTAAAGACTGATTTTCCCTGATTTTGCAGAGCTGGCTTCAAATAGCCTTTGTTAAAAATGTTCTCAGTATGACTAGAAAAAAAATTCTCATTACACTGAAATTTAACACGTCATCTTTTTGCAAATTTATTGTAAAGGAACCTGACACCTGAAATGTGGTTTGACCTTCTGCAATACCACAGAAACCGTCACATCATTTATCCCATTATCTCTGTGTGACACATTACTGTATGTTTGCTGCAAAATGTAAAATTTATAATCAGGTTTTGATTTCTGTAGATATGCTCGAGGCGTTACCGGCTGGGATGGGGAGGGGAACCCTTTGCTGTCGTTGAGGCTGCCATCGTTGAGGTAAATCACCCTGCTTTTAGAGATGGTGTTGGTTTTGTAGAACTCCACCAGCTTGTTGAGGGAGGTGAACTTCTCCTGCCACAGGAAGTACTGGCCTTTGTTGTCCCTCATCACTCTGAAGTGCTGGACGTCATTCTCATGTCTGAGGAGAAGAGATAAAGATCTTCACTATCCATGGCCCACAGACTAAATAACTACTAAACATCAAAAGGTCATTTTTAATTACACAACACTATATGGATAACATTTCAGGGTCAGAACTAACCGCTTCCTCTCAGTGGGAAGTGGCTTCTATTCATTCAACTAAAAAGTAGACTGAACCTTGAGATTCTTGAAGCCTTTCTTGTACTAATAACAAAAATTACTTTATTTACAGTTTTTAGACTTTAGACTCTTGGACTTTATTAAGGAAAGGTTTAAAAAGTGGTAAAACATCAGTTTTTTGCCCCTCATACGGCTTAAGTCTGGCTATACTTTTACACTAATTTGACGAATCACATCCATCACATCCACTTCTGTCCAGATTTATATGCAGCAAAGACCAAACTGAAGTAAATCAGGTCTTAAAACTGGATTAGAGACAAAGGCTGAAAGGTCTCTCCTTGATCATATCAGACTTCCAAATTGAAACAAATGTGTGATTGTGTAAATGATGTTAACTGAAATAAAATTGAGTAAACTGAGTCTTTCGTGGCCCTTTATTATAAAGAGAAAACCTTGATGTACTAATCCTGGTCAGAAGCTCTTATAAAACAGTGCCCTGAAAGAAGGAGTTGAAATTTGTTTAATTTCTTGAGGTTTTTTTCTGCTTCTCATTCTTTTCTAAACGGAATGCGCAAGAACATCTACATAACAGACGACTCCCCGTTTCCTTCATCCCACTGGTTCCTCTCTCCTTATCTGGATTGTCCTCTGCTGGTCGATGCACAAAACTACATCATCAAACAAAAACTCCCTCAGCACATAACTGGGTCAATTTATATAGTGTAAAAAAAGTAATTCTACTCAAGGCACATAACAGGCCTAAGAGCACTTGAAGTGTGGATATTATTTATTTAAAGTGTGACCAGAGTTTTCACCACTATGAATCATATGGTACTGTATGTACAGTGCTTGTGATGTGTTGCTTCGAGCAAATGACAACAAAAATTCAGCCAACACCCAGGAAGCAGCCAATTTACAGTGTAAAACTACCGCCCAACTATATAGAGGTCATACAGAGATCTACAGCAAGTCCCCTAAACTTCAGTTTCTTTCCAAATTATGTTTGGATGACTAAAGCTGAGGCTTTCAAATCTAAGAAAACTCTCCAAACTGTGGAGGACGGTGGTGTTAGCATCATGCTCTGGTGCTAATTTAATGCCAATGGTACATTGCACAACATGGTTGTAATAATGAACTTAACTATACAGTTAAAACGTGGGCAAGATTGAGTGCTCCAAGAGAACAATGATCCCAAACACACATTAAAACTGGTTTTGGAACAAATTTGAAGAAACTCTTTCAATTCTTCGAAGAACAAATATCGAGAAATAATTATGCCAGAAGCTACGAAAAGAGTCTGGTTGAGGTGCAACTTGCTAAATGAGATTAAACCAAACATTAGTGTGGCTGAATGTCCCTGTAAGTATACTTTTGAGTCTGTGTGGATTGGAGAAAATCAACAATAAACTTAAACTTGTGCATCCAAATCACATTTATTACAGTTAATAAAGATGTTTCCGGTACAGTTATTCCAACCTGGAAAACGAATAGTTCAAAGAAATCATTAAAAGCCCCAAATCACCAAGACATTGATGCCCGAGCACGAGTTTACGTAAACCTCTGAACACAACTGTATACATTAAAAACCCATGGACAAACTAAAAGACAGCACCTGTTACTGGTTACTGAAAAATTAAAATACACAAGTCTTGAAACCATTTAGGACTGGAGATATTTTGCACGGGTGTTATAAATAACATACGGTCTTTCACACTGTCCCGGCGGTCCTGTAATCAGAGCGCTAAAAGGAATAATCTGCGCTGGTGGTCTGACAGACAGCGGACACGAGAGGATAAACTGACTTCACCTCTGCCTCACTTGTTTATTCTGCAGCTGACTTTGGTGATAAAAAATAAGAACCTCCAGCGAAGAAGGAAAGAGCTCAGAGGGCCAGTGTCCTGCAGGTTTTAGATATCACCCTGGGTCAACACACCTTTATCAGATGATTAGTTACTTATCAGGCCTCTGGAGAACTTCAAGACCTGTTGAGGAGGTAGCTTAGCTATTTAAAATCAGCTGTGTTGCATCAAAGACGCGTCTAAAACCTGCAGGACTCCGGCCCTCGAGGCCTGGAGTTCCCCACCCCTGATATAAATGAAGTACATAGATTTTGTGTCATTTTATGCTGGAAAAACTATACAGCAGCCTCACATCAATAACTGTGCAGCCTCAAAAGTGCCAAAATGAAATAAATAAATACATCACCAAAATATTACTTCATTAAAACTGTAAATAAAAAATGTTTTAAATACATAATGAATTAATTAAATTAATTCTTAATCCAAATATCAACTGTGTTTACATTTTCAGAAAACTTTCCCTCCGACCTCTCACCTTGAGGCCGAGGTCACTGAGATTCGAACTCATCCAAGATTTTCAGTAGATACAACGATGGTATCGGTCGCTTTAATCTCCAGTTATCGCATTCACAAACTCTGGTGTCCATGTCGCCTAGCTGGCTACCCGTCCACCCAGCAGGGTGACCACAATACGCCATCAGGTTTTTATGCCTGAGGTGTAAAAAGGCAGTAAAGTACTCAGTGAAGCTGTGCACAAGTGTCAGACGTTATCACCCTGCCGTCTCACTCTGAGCTGTCCTCCAGTCCTGACTGTACTTGTCACGCAGGAACGAGCAAGTACGAAAACTCAAACTCTTTATACTTAGTATGAAACAAACACTGACCAAAAGCAAAGCAAGGCTTTGACTACAGCAGCCTTAGTCCCGCCCACTGACTTTGGTGCTGCGGTTAAAGATAAAATAAATTCATGCAGCACAGCATGCAGTACCATAGTAACCACAGTGAATAAGATTTTGACTAAATAAATCCACAATTAATTAATTACACTTTTAATTAACTGTTTGTTTATGTATTTATTTCATTTTGACACTTTTGGTGCTATGTCTATGTTGGATGCACATAAAGCACAGCTCTAA